TATGGCACACGTGGCCTGGCCCGACAAAGTGACATTTATGTCAGATCCGGCCCTCATAACAAATGAGTCTGACACCTCTGGAGGAATTTCAGACAGGCGATATATTCCGGAAGAGGAATGGTTCCCAAACAGTTTCTGGTCTGTCATTTCAGACAGAATGGTTTGAGAACCGGTTCCCTTCCAGAATATATTTGTCATTTTATACACAATTGCTTCTGTCCCGTTTAGGAAATGGGGCTGAAGCGTTTTACCTGTCAACCGCTTTCAAGTACTCCTCAGTTTACTCTCCCGGTTCCGATGCGCTTTTTCCCACCGTTTTTCGCCTGTGCAGGCGATCTCCAGCTTTTTTTTTTGAACGTTTGCTTTATAACGCTATAACGGAATAGCATTATATCAATCCCATTGGAATGCATGGAGTGTTTTGTTATACTGCTATAGTGCTATAGCGCTCTAAAGCGAACGTTAAAAAAAAAAAGCCGGAGATCCCCCACATGGGCGAAAAACAGCGGGGGGAAAGCGAGAAAAAGCGGTGCAGTCTGAAATGGCAAATCACTTCAGATCCAGCTCTTTACCGGAAGGGGAAACCCATGTGTGAAATGGCAGCCCTATACCAGTTCACTTCAAAACGGATCATTACCGGCTTGAAACCGGGTGAAACTGGGTAATGTGAAATTCCCCCCGGTTTAGGATTTCATACAAGCTCCATTCCAGAAGAGAGCCAGTTTGGTGTAGTAGTTAAGTGCGCGGCCTCTCATCTGGGAGAACCGGGTTTGATTCCCCACTCCTCCACTTGTACCTGCTGATGTGACGCTGGATCAGTCACAAGCCCTGGCACAGCTGTCCTTAAAAAAGAGCAGTTTGTGTCAGAGTTCTCTCAGCCCCACCCACCTCACAGGGTGTCTGTTGTGGGGAGGGAAAGGGAAAGGAGTTTGTAAGCCGCTCTGAGACTCCAAGTGAAGGGCGGGGTATAAATCCAATCTCTTCTTCTCTCTTCTAAATACCTTTCTACTACATTATGCAGGGTTTTCCTTAAAGATTGAAAGAATAATTGCCAAGGAGGTTGTGAAGGTTTTTCAGATTAAAAAGCAAAGCAAAACAAAACAACTGGAGAAAGATCTCCCTAAAGCAAATATTGTTGTAATTGACCCAGCCCAGACGGATGCCAAAGAGACCCTCAGCGGGCACTTTCCTGCCCAGTGAACCAGAACGGCTTGTCAGTTACCAAGTTCATATCCATTAATGTCACATCAAGCACAAAAGTCCCAGCAGGTGATTCCAAGAGCCATTTTATTGGAGAGACTATTACTTTTCCAGCAAAGCAACTTCAGAGAACATCAAGTACAAATTAAGTAAATGTCACCGAATTACTTTAAGATGACAAAGAGGGGGGAAAATGCATTTCGGCTCTGTAACAGCATATAAGAGACTAACCTGAGGCATAATATCACACTGAGCAGAACTGCTGAATATAAAAGAGTGGATTGCAATAACATACATCTAGTCAAATAACATGTGATAATGGAACTTTGAGGCACGTCCTGTAGCATTTGGGAAACTTTGAACTCTTTGGAATACTGTCCTACCTAATAATCCTATATATATTTTTATGTGGGGTTGGACCCAGACTAAATTGGCAATTCCCACTGATTCCCCGGGCACCCCCGTCGCACTGCAGACTCCCCTCACGTTGTTCCTCAGGGTCCATTTCAGGCAGCATTTCATGGAGAACAGTGGGCTGGAGGGAGAGGCAGGAAAGTTCCATTCCGTGGATGGAAAATTTAGCCCAGACCCAACCCTTTCAGTCTTCAGAGCAGTGATTTCCTGGCTGTTCTAGGGGATAGGAGAACTCTGGATCCCTCAGCAACTGGTCGTAAATTCGTCTCTGTAAAGTTCAGCAAGGGCAGACCAATTTTTTTCTGAAAGGCAGCATGCCCACCATCTTTGCTCTTACCCTGAAAAGTGGAGCCACCATTTTGAATGCTCTCTCAATATATGTAGCATGGACCTTGTTCTGTGTCAAATAAGCCTGATCTCTAGACTGTTAGTCAGGATCCTCTATGACAAATGGCGGATATACAGAGTTCCTTTGGAGGTAAACAAACAGGTGAAAAGTTTTCAGAATCACACACACTATAAAGTGACATATCCTTTGACTCCACCTTTTGTCTCACTAAGTTGGCCCATTGATAACTGTACTGCTGTTGTACATGATAGTGGGGAGCAGCGTTCCCTCTAAGCTGAGTTAGTGTGAGCTAGCTCGCAGTTTTTTAGCCTCTGGCTCACCCATTTTTGTCTTTGCTCAGGAAGGATGGCTCCAGAGCAAACTAGTTTATGCAGTAGCCCAATCACTCGCTCACAACTTTAATGCCAATAGCTCACAAGATAGAACTTTTGCTCACAAGACTCCACAGCTTAGAAGGAGCATTGGTGCGGAGTATACTGCTTTGATGGCTTCCTGTCCCCCCCCCCTCTAGGCTCTAGTTTTGAAGGTTATTGTCCGTAGAAGATAGATTTCTTTGAAACTGTAGGGGGGAAAGATCAATTGAATTACTTAAGTGAATAAGACTGCCACTTGAGTCTCCAAGGGATTATTTGAGCAATTGTATACTGTTTACAAACAAGGGATGACATTCTCCAGTTAACTGTAAAGGAAGTAAGAAGGCATGTACTTTAGTTTCGAAGGAGTTGTGTAACTTTAGCCTGTCGTCATTTTGGCTTTGTTTACTACATGGAAGGGAGCGAGAACAAAGAAGGCAAGGGTTCTCAGACCTCAAAATCGCCGTTCATACAAACATAACCATAATTCAGTTCGCTGAAGCAAAGCTGGGGAAAAGATACCAGGGCTGGGTTTATCATTTGTCTTCATACAGCAGGGCTTTGTTTCTCTATCAGTTTTCTGTATTTTGTTCTTTAAAGTCAAAGGTTTGCTCATGCAGTGTTGTGAGCAATAAAAAGCATGTGTGACCCATGTCATCTAATAATGATTGCCCCACACAGTTTTCACTAGACAAATAGAACATTTGTGTCCTCCTGATGGGAGAAAAGGGCCCAGCAAGCAGAACTATAAACATAGGGTTGCAAACTCCAGGTGACACCTCGCAATCTCCCGCTATTGACCTCCAGACAACCAAGCTCAGTTTGCTTGGAGAAACTGGCTGCTTTGGAAGGTGGGCAGTATGGCATTATAGCCTGCTCAGGTCTCTCCCCAGGCTCCACCCCCAAAATCTCCAGGTATTTCCCAACCCAGAGCTGGCAACCCAACCTAAGCTCCTCAACTTCTTCTTCTTCTTCTTTTTTTGGTGTGTATTTATGTATGTATGTATGTGTGCATGCCTGGAAGTCATGGCTGACTTCTGGCAACCCCTAATGGGGCTTGGAGGCAAGGGGGAGAGGTGGCTTGCTATTGCCTGCCTGTGCATCACAGCCCTGGTATTCCTTGGAGGTCTTCCATCCAAGTACTTGCCAAGGTCGGCCCAACCCCAGTACCCATTTTGCCTTGGGTCAAAAGGAGATGACACAAGCAACGATATCCATCACTGTTGGGTTATGGATTGCTGTTCATACCTAACTTTAGTTGTCACTCAGATAGCTCTAATGGTTTTATTGTTGCTCTCTTGTCCCGTCAGAACTCACTCTGAGAACACTTTTTTGTTGGAAAGCAAGTGACATGTTTTCTAAATAAATAAAACAGGTGTGATTCATGTGACATGCTTGTGGGTGGGTCTAGGATATGAAAAGAGGGTGGAAGTGAATCAAGGAATGCCAACGAAACGTCTATAGTCACACGGGGAAGTTTTAGGCTTCATCTGACACACAGCCCAGTAAACCGAGTGCCTCATCCCAGAAAGCATCCACATAAACTGGGGGAGATAAAATACTGTTCCAAGCAGAATAGCTCCAGAGAGCTTTCCTTCTAATCTGGAAACAGAAACTGTCTCATCCTTTATGTTTGTTTCTTTTTTGACAATTTTTACTATCACAATTCAACCACACATCGATCCTTTCTGAGACAGCTCTCTGCAGTTCGGTATTGATCTTCCTAACACCCAGCTGAGCTCTGAGCAGGAACAGGAGCAGGAGACAGAAGGGTGAGTGGTTTTTTATTTGCTTTCAGCGGAGAGGATCCAGCTGAGGATTTTGGTGGGAGAACTGGTCTGGGAGTGTGTGGAAGCGCTTGGAGTTTTTGCAGATTCCTGGCTGCTTGAGAGAGGAAAGGGCATTGTTTGACTGTGATTGACTGCAATTGAGAGGAAAAGGAAGGGGCATTGTTTTGCATGTGATTGAGTGCCTGGGTGCATTTGAATAGCTGCTGCCAGCACTCTGCTGGGGGAGGCCTCTATTTAAGGAAACACCTGGCCAGAGGCAGAGGAGACCCAGCTGAGCTCTGAGCAGGAACAGGAGCAGGAGACAGAAGGGTGAGTGGTTTTTTATTTGCTTTCAGCGGAGAGGATCCAGCTGAGGATTTTGGTGGGAGAACTGGTCTGGGAGTGTGTGGAAGCGCTTGGAGTTTTTGCAGATTCCTGGCTGCTTGAGAGAGGAAAGGGCATTGTTTGACTGTGATTGACTGCAATTGAGAGGAAAAGGAAGGGGCATTGTTTTGCATGTGATTGAGTGCCTGGGTGCATTTGAATAGCTGCTGCCAGCACTCTGCTGGGGGAGGCCTCTATTTAAGGAAACACCTGGCCAGAGGCAGAGGAGACCCAGCTGAGCTCTGAGCAGGAACAGGAGCAGGAGACAGAAGGGTGAGTGGTTTCCGGTGCCCATTCTATGTGAATTGGCTTCTCTGAGCACTACGCAAGCCAAAGAAAATTGCACTTTTGGACAAATGTGTTCCCCTAACGCAGCAAGGGAAAAGAAACCCCACAGCTCTCCCCCGCCCCACCAGATCGTTAACTTTTCCTTTGCACACTGTCTTCAGCATGGCAATTTGAGCCTGTCTTTAGGGGTTCTATTTTTGCTTCAGCAAAAAATGTCTCGGCGAGTGGCAGCGAGCGAATGTCTTAGAGCAAGGGGTAGCATTGCCCCGAGCTCGTGCCGTAGCAGCAGCAAACGATCTCCTTGAATGTCTTCCGCATCTCCAGGCTGCGGAATGCATAAATAAGGGGATCGATGACTGAGTTGCACATAATCAGGACCAGGTACGTGTTAAAATGTGAGGTGTAGCAAATACAGTGCGGGTTGGTCGGGCAGGATATGATGAGAATGAGGTGCAGGAAAAACGGTGCCCAGCAGACAATGAAGACCCCCAGGAGAATAGTTATGGTGACAGCCCCTTTCATACAGGTGCGCTGATGGGGGACCCCATCGACAGGCAGGGCGGCAATGCGTTTGACATGCAGGCGCGCAAACAGGAACATGTGGACATACAGGGAGGCCATGAGGAAAAGCATGGTGAAGAACATGGTGATAAGGCAGACAATGACGGTTTTGCTTTCATAGTAGACAATGAACATGATGCCACAGATGATGCAAGCCACCCAGATGACGCCAATCAGTGCCAGGGCTTTCCTCACACTCATGATGCTGTGGTAACGGAGCGCGTAAAAAATGGTAATGTACCTGTCGACGGCTATGACCAAAAGGTTGCATATGGAGGCAACCAAAGAGATACAGATCATTGAGTCAAAGACATTGTCCATGTGCTGGATGAAACGGTCGCCGATGACCAAGTACCCGTTGCTCAGGATGGCGATCATGACGGTCTCCAAGGCGTTGGACATACTCACGAGAATGTCTGCGGCTGCCAGGCTGCAAAGGAAGAAGTACATAGGGGAATGGAGGTTCCCATTCTTGATCACAGCAAGGATGACCAGGACGTTTTCCAGAAGGCTGGTGATCCCCAGCGTCAAGAAGACCTCTGCCTTGATGGAGACTTGTTCGCAGAACCCGTGGTCGCTCCTGCTGCTGTAAAGGGCTGAATCGTTGAGCTCTCTGCCGGTGGCATTCAACAACACTGGCTGAAATGTAAGAGCCCAGTGTCTAGTGGTGTTCATTGTCAGAGCAGATATTCCGGTCTACAAGCCACTATGGAAACAGCATCACTGCGAGGCACTGAGGAGAAAAGTCCGTCAGAAATGTCTCAAAGCTCTTCGTTGAATGAGATCGAGCAAGATGATTGGGGTGGAGTAAAGAGAGCTGTCCACTTCATTCAGAGTGAAATTCTGAATCCATTGCTCGAGAGATTTTGGTTTTTTTTGCATGTCCTAGAAATGAAATTCCTTAGAGCTCTTTATTAGAGATCAGGAAAGATGAACAGAGAAAAAGAGTCCCCCCCCCCAGCTTATTCAAAGTAGAACTCTGAATCCATTGCTCCGAAGAATTTTTTCTCTCCAGTGAAATCAGAAATCTGTAGCAAATGCTGATGATATTTCTGAAAATAAGGAACAAAATGGTGATTGTAGTCCCTTTGGTGATCTACCTGTTGATTTCAAGCAAGTGTTTTTGTGATCTGTGATCCTGTCCTAGGATTGCTGCTCGACTGGAGTGTTCAAAAGCACTTCATAGCATCTCTTCCTGCTTCATCTGTGGAGAGGAGGGGGAAGAATAGTAAAAAAAAAAAAACTCCTGGATTTTATACGTTCCTGAAAGGGGGGGAAAAAACTCCTACTTAATCCGTGCCTCACAGTGACCACTGGAGAGCAAGCACCTCTTTGACTGACAGCTGCGATCATAATACAGAGAATCCTTCTTATTCTAAGAGGCCATGATCCGATACAAAATGATTTGCTGCCCTCTACAGATCAGTGATTGTAATCGGTACACATCTTTTAAAAAGTTCTGTCGCTCTAGTACGAACGGCTGCAACGTGTTTCTGAATTCATAGATAATAAGCAAGCTACGTTAATAACACATTCTTTGCTTAGAGTTCTTTTCATTCAAGAAGTCTAAGGATGGCCAAGTTTTCCAGAATAAATGTACTGAATTTTTTTAAAAAACAGAATAAAACGAAACATTTGAGAGCAGAACAGTGGTTAGTACAACAGGTAAGGACTGCAGGTGTGGAGTTCAAATCCCCCGTCAGCCATAACGTTTGCTAGGTGATCTGGGGCAAATCACTCTCTCAGCCTCGACTACCTCACAGGATTGTTGTGAGCAGACGAGAATCATGCATGCTGGAGTGTACGGTGGCCAACCTCCAGGCGGGGTCGGGAGATCTCCTGGAATTACAACTGATCTCCAGACTATAAGGATCGGTTCCCCTGGCAGACATGGCTGCACTGGAAAGTGGACT